GCTTGAATTCTGCAGCCTACTTCTTTACACTTGCATATGAAGGGGCGTCCTCAGCAAGTGCTTGTATCATGTCATCATGGATTTCCTTGGGTGTTATACCTTTCTTTTGCAGATAGTTTATGAAAGCTCGGGTCTCTGTTTTGTGCATTTTTAGATTTATCCCTCGCCTCGCACCTTTGTATGGGCCTCACCTGCACGGAGATTAAAACAGTAATCATAATGAGATTTTCTAGTTTTATAAGAAGAGGTAGTGTGTGCAGGAGGCACGGTGGTGTAATGGATAGCGGCTTGGAGTGAGGAATCGGAGAGCCGAGTTCGAATTCCAGTCAAATCAATTACATTCACTTACGTGCTAATACCCATCAGAAAGGTATGAATCCTTTTCCTCTCCTATGGGTAAATAGCAGGACAGACCAAGTTCTATAGCCTTCGATGGCAACTGGTTTATCTCAGAAAGAAATGGAAACCTACTGCGGGAAAAATATCTGCCCCGTCAGTCATGTATTGAATGATACATGACCGCTTAAGCATGTATCACGCATGGCACATAACTGATTAATTTAGAGTGCTTAACAGACAAACGGTTTATACATTTCAACTTTTGTCTTTTAAGATTTATCTATAGTCAATGGAAATGGAGAGCCGAGTTCGAATTCCAGTCGAATCCATTACATTCACTTACGTGCTAATCACCCTTGGGAAAGGTATGAATCCTCTTCTCCCCACAGCTATATGTAAATAGCAGGACAGACCGGGATCTATAGCCTTGGATAGCAACTGGTCTACCGCAGAAAGAAATGCCAACATACTGCGGGGAAAAAAAAATCTGCCTCGTCAGTCATGCATCGAAAGATACGTGGTCGCATAAGCATGTATCGCACATGGCACATAACTGATTAATTTAGAGCGGCTAACAGAGAAACGGTTTATTCATTTCAACTTTTGTCTTTTAAGATGTATATATAATCAATGGAGATGGAGAGCCGAGTTCGAATTCCAGTCGAATCCATTACATTCACTTATGTGCTAATATCCTTAGGAAAGATATGAATCCTCTTCACCTCTAGCTATTGGTAAATAGCAGGAGAGACCGGGTTCTATAGCCTTGGATGGCAATTGGTCTACGTAAAAATAAATGACAACCTATTGCGGGAAAAAAACCTGCCTCGTCAGTCATGTATCACCTAAGCGTGTATCACGCATGGCATATAACTGAGTGTGTTGCCACAAGAAAAAAAAATAATGTTTAGCTATGTCACTTCTTTCTGAGTGAGGCTTAGAACTTTTTGGACGAACCCCGTAATGAGACACGACTAGAAAAATCATAAAACACAGAAATGTCTTTTTTGTGTGTTAAATTACCCTCCAGAGTCAACGGATCTGAAGCCCAGAGAGTACCTTTGGGATGTGGTGGAAAGTGATATTCAAATCCTTGACGTGCAGTCAACCAATCTAAAGAATTGCAAAATGGCATAATAATGGCATGGAATCAAATTACGAAAGAATGCTTACAAAATCCATTCCAAGACGATTTGAGATGGCTCCGGTAGCAGAAAGCGGTCCAACCCGGTATTAGAAAAATGTACGTAATAAAGTAGGAAACACGAAAAAATTTATAAAAAAGATCACATTGTAATGAAAAAAGACCCCAAATATCATAAATACCAAGGTTTTCGTCAAAATGTTTACGCTATTATTAAGAGAAAAGAACAAATTATTTTTTTACACTATTTACGTTATTCGGACTAACGTCGTCATCTTTGTTGCCATATTTACAACAACGTTTTGGCCGTTGTACGCTCCGGTCTTCCTCGGGAATGTCGAACTGAATACTTTCCATCTCTTTGTTAGATCATCGTCAGAGGTGCAACTGGCAAGGCAAAAAATATGTGTGGCTATCCATTACTGAACTTATTTCTTTTCCGTTTAAATGCTATGGTTGACAGTTACGTTTCAGCGTTCATTCGACAGTGAAAAGTTATACATTATCATTTTTTCTTTTATCTATCTATATTTCTGAGTTGAGTTATTATGTACACTATTTACTTTGTTCGGGCTATCTTCCTCATCTTTGTTGCCATTTTTATTACAACGTTTCGGCCGCTGTACGCTCCGAACATCTTCAGTTGGTTGGAATGTCGAACTGAATCTTTTATTTCTCTCGCTGTGGTAGACTGTTTTAGTTCCATGTGCCATGTCTAATGGATGTCAGTTATCAGTTATCTCCTGTTAATTCCCCTCTCCAAGTTCTCCACCGCCTTAACCAGGTATTGAACTCACATTCTTTGGGTTCTGTCACTAGATCTAACTAACACCTTTATCCACTGTGCCATGTGTCCTTGAGGAAATAAAGGGTTCAGTTGGACATTCTAACAACCTGAAGAAGGCCGGAGCGTACAACGGCTGAATCGTTGTGATAAATATGGCAACAAAGATGAGGACGATAGTTCGAACAATGTAAATAGTGTACATAATACCTCATCTCAGTAATATAGACAGATATTGAAAGTATTTTTTTATTATTATTTTATTATTTTTTATTTTTCTAGCACGTTCAAAATGTCGGCTAAAATCTTGTTTTTCTCGGCCAAATATTAGCATAGAAAATTTAGCGTTTTTTCTTTTTTGTGGTAAAAATACGTTATTTTGGAAATTCTAGCAAAAATCATGTAATTATCGGATTTTAGTGAAATGGCCAGGACTTATTCACAAATGAATGAAATTAATTTTGAATTTTTTTCTTTTAGAAAATGTTGGTAAAAATAGACTTTATTTTTACATCTGTTACACCCACTTAATTTTATGAAATTTTCGAGAAATTAAAATTTCAGGTACTTTGTATTGATATTAGTTAAAAGTAGGCCTCCTAACAGAATTTAAATCGTCAATTTATTTCTTGTGAAAGAGAAACGCCATTAACATAAAATCTACTCTGATTCCTAAAATAAGAAATGCAATCAAATTATGACAACATTTATTTAGAAAGGATTTTCATTGATATTATGTATAAGATATATTAAAGACACAAGTGCCTTAAGAAAAACTTGTGGGTAAATAATGAATTTTTACCAGAATTGTCTTGAGTATATCAATATATGGAAAAGGTTATAGTTGTTCCAACGAAACCGTAAACATTTTTGGTTATAATGAGGATTTGTTTTAGTATATATATATATATATATATATATATATATATATATATATATATATATCATTCTATTTTTATATTTTTGCTACACGTGTTTCCGGTTTCGTGACCTTCTTCAGGCAAATAAAAGGAATTAATTTTTTAAAGGAATAAATTTTCTTTGTGTTCTTTTAATGTCTCATCGCTTCTTTTCTGTATTTTGTTGGTGTGCCTCGAACTCCTTTCTAGACTTTTGGCAAAAGTGAATTTCTGACTAAGTGTTTATAAAACCATTAGGTTTGGTAGGAAAGCTGCTGAGGATAGACGTGTTGATGAGAGATGTCTCTCACTCCCCTATGTGCGTGCGTGATCCCGTTAGCCTGAATATGTATATCCCCTGCCCATATATACATACTGACTTATAAGAAGGAAACACCATACGCACGCACACACACACACACACACACACACACACACACATATATATATACATATATATATATATGTTTGTGTGTGTTTGTGTGTATACACATGCACATATACATATATACCAACCACACAATATATATATATATATATATATATATTATAAAGAAATATACTACCCGAATTGACCCAAATAAAAAATCAAATTAATTATCTATTATAAAAAATTTAAGACAGCTAACCTCATCCTAAACAAATAACAACACACCAACTAAGTCAAAATTACCAAGAACGAACATTATCTATGATTTCAAATGCCCCTTAAGGAACTGTGTTCCTGATCAAACTGGACTCATAAATAATTACATCGGTTACACAACTACATGCTTATCTAGACGTCTTACGTTACACCTATCTAATCACAGCTCCATTAGAACCCATTTAAACACACACAAAATTTACCAGACTCCGTTAGAAATATACTAGTAGAAAACACAAATGTATTCATCCACATGCAAAAAAACAAGAGTAAAAATAATGGAAAATTTAATAATAAAAAAGAAAAAAACAACTCTTAATATTAACTACGAACAAGGCCACAATGAACTAACCGTATTCGGAAATTAAAACATCCCTACTAAACACTAAGGCATACACATAATGGACACACTCAATTAAGCTGAAAAAAATGAATCATCCTGTCGTTTTTAATGAAACATGCATATATATATATATATATATATATATATATATATATATATATATATATATATATATATAGTGTGTATGTGTGTTGATATAAATATAGATATAAGTAGGAAATATATATGAGCATTACCGTTTTGAATCAGAGACAATGCAATCAAAGTTTTGTTAAGATGTATACGATCTTTGTATATCCAATGCCGTCGAGAAAACATCATGTTTAATAGTTATAATATTTACGAGCATTATTGTGGAGTAATGGATAGAGGCTCGGATTGAGGAATCGGGGAGTCGAGTTCGAATTCCAGTCGAAGTCATTACATTCACTTACGTGCTAATACCCTTTTCTCCCATCCCCTCACCAGCTTTGGGTAAATGGCAGGACGGACCGGGTTCTATAATCTTGGATGGCAACTATCGCAGAAAGAAATGACAACCTACTGCTTGAAAAAAATCTGCCTTGTCAGTCATATATCGAAAGATATATGATCGCCTAAGCGTGTATCACGCATGGCATATAAATGACTGACAGCCCCCTGGGAGAGGCATGAAACCTCTTCTTCATCCCCGCCCCCATCAGATATGGGTAAGTAGCAGGACAGACCGGGTTCTATAGATGAAAGAAATGGCAACCTGCTGCAGGAAAAAAATCTACCTTGTCAGTCATTTATCGAAAGATATATGATTGCCTAAGCGTGTATCACACATGGCACATAAGTGACTGACTGATTTACGAGTTGCATCAGAAGAGAAGGCGGATGCATAGGCGAGAATGTGTTGGGCGGTGACGTGGAGCAGGAAGGAAAGCATGAGAAAAGACAAATCTGGGAAGGTTACGGGTCGGGGTTTGTAGGGAAAGGAACTTAGGCGTACGGTGTAGTATTATTGTTTGGCCTATAAATTCTATTGTAGGTCAATCTGAGTCAGCCATCTTGTTTCCCTAACCGGTGCTAACTGATGCGCCTCTTGAAAAATACAGAAGCTCGTCAATATATACTTATTATTGTACACAGCTGCAGGTACACGTATTATTGCTTATAAAAGATAGATAGATAGATAGATAGATAGATAGATAGATAGATAGATAGATATGAACGGAGATAGATAGACAGACAGACAGAAAAACAGACAGAAAATGAATATATCGAGATAGATAAATAATGAACATACGGAGATAGATATACAGATAGATAGACAGATATGAAAAAAACTGAGATAGATTTACACATACATAATTATATAAAAAAACTAACATAGATAAATAGATAGATATGAACAAAGAGAGATAGACATTTATGAACAGATTTAGATAGATACTTAGATAGATAGATATGAAAAAAAAACCGAGACAGATAGACAGATAGATAGATAAGTAGATAGATATGAAAACACTGAGATAGATAGATAGATAGATTGATAGATAGATAGATAGATAGATAGATAGATAGATAGATAGATAGATAGATAGATAGATAGATAGATATGAAAAAATCTGAGATAGGTAGATATGAAAAAACCTTAGATAGATAGATAGATATGAAAAAAAAAACTGAGAAAGACAGACAGATAGCTAGATAAATAGATAGATATGAAAAAACTGAGATAGATAGATAGATAGATAGATAGATAGATAGATAGATAGATAGATAGATAGAAAATGGTTATATCAAGATAAATAATGAACATACTGAGATTGATATACATACATAGATAGATAGATAGATAGATAGATAGATAGATGAAAAAAACTGAGATAGATTGATAGATTATATAAAAAAACTGAGATAAATAGATAGATATGAACAAAGAGAGATAGAAAAACTATCAGATTTAGATAAATTAGATAGATAGATATGAAAAAAAAACAGACAGATAGATAGATAGATAGATAAATAGATAGATATGAAAACACTGAGATAGATAGATAGATAGATAGATAGATAGATAGATAGATAGATAGATAGATATGAAAAAAATCTGAGATAGGTAGATATGAAAAAACCTAAGATAGATAGATAGATAGATAGATAGAAATGAAAAAAAAACTGTGACAGACAGACAGATAGCTAGATAAATAGATAGATATGAAAAAACTGAGGTAGATAGATAGATAGATAGACAGATATGAAAAAAACTAAGATAGATAGATAGATAGATAAAAATGGTTATATCGAGATAAATAATGAACATACCGAGAATCATATACATGCAGATAGATAGATAGATAGATAGATAGATAGATAGATATGAAAAAAACTGAGATAGATTGACACATACATAATTATATAAAAAAACTAACATAGATAAATAGATAGATATGAACAGATAGAGATAAATATACAGATTTAGATAGATGATAGACAAAGAAAAAAACCGAAACAGATAGATAGATAGATGAAAATAGAATATGAAAACACTGAGATAGATAGATAGATAGATAGATAGATAGATAGATAATAGATAGATAGATAGACAGATAGGTAGAGACAGATAGATAGATAAATATGAAAAAAAACTGAGAAAGACAGACAGATAGATAGATAGATAAAAAACTGATAGATGGATAGATAGATAGATAGATAGATAGATAGATAGAAAATGATATCGAGATAAATAATGAAATATACCGAGATTGATATATACATACAGATAGATAGATAGATAATAGATAGATAGATAGATAGATAGAAAACTGAGATATGAATAAAAAACTATCATAGAGATAGATATGAACAGATAGATAGATAGATAAATAGATAGATATGAAAACAAACTGAGATAGATAGATAGATAGATAGATAGATAGATAGATAGATAAAAAAATGAGATAGGTAGATATGAAAAACCTAAGATAGATAGATAGATAGATAGATAGAAATGAAAAAAAAATGACAGACAGACAGATAATAAATAGATAGATATGAAAAAACTGAGGTATAGATAAAGATAGACAGATAATAAGATAGATAGATAAAAAATGGTTATATCGAGATAAATAATGAACATACCGAGAATCATATACATGCAGATAGATAGATAGATAGATAGATAGATAGATAGATATGAAAAAAACTGAGATAGATTGACACATACATAATTATATAAAAAAACTAACATAGATAAATAGATAGATATGAACAAAGAGAGATAGACAGTTATGAACAGATTTAGATAGATACTTAGATAGATAGATATGAAAAAAAAACCGAGACAGATAGACAGATAGATAGATAAATAGATAGATATGAAAACACTGAGATAGATAGGTAGATAGATAGATAGATAGATAGATAGATAGATAGATATGAAAAAATCTGAGATAGGTAGATATGAAAAAACCTAAGATAGATAGATAGATAGATAGATAGATAGATATGAAAAAAAAAACTGTGACAGACAGACAGATAGCTAGATAAAGAGATAGATATGAAAAAACTGAGGTAGATAGATAGATAGATAGACAGATATGAAAAAAACTAAGATAGATAGATAGATAGAAAGAAAATGGTTATATCGAGATAAATAATGAACATACTGAGAATGATATACATGCAGATAGATAGATAGATAGATAGATAGATAGATAGATGAGATAGATTGATACATAATTATATAAAAAACTGAGATAGATTGAAGAGAGATAGACAGTTATGAACAGATTTACATAGATACTTAGATAGATATGAAAAAAAAAACTAGATAGACAGATAGATAGATAAATAGATAGATATGAAAACAGATAGATAGATAGATAAAGATAGATAGATATGAAAACACTGAGATAGATAGATAGAAAAACTAGATAGATAGATAGATATGAAAAAAATCAGACAGATAGCTAGATAAATAGAAAAACCTGAAGATAGATAGATAGATAGATAGATAGATAGATAGATAGATAGAAATGGTATAAAAAAAAAACTATGTCATTGACAGACACAGATAGCTAGATAGATAGATAGATAGATAGATGAAAAATAGATAGATAGATAGAAAAAAAAACTAGATAGATTGAAGCATACATAATTATATGAAAAAAACTAAGATAAATAGATAGATATGAACATAGATAAAAAATAGATTATATCGAGATAATAGATAGATAGATAGAATATATGAAAAATCAGATAGGTAGATGAAAAAACCTAAGATAGATAGATAGATAGATAGATATAGATAGATAGTCATAGATAAATGATAAAAAAAAACTGAGGTAGATAGATAGATAGATAGACAGATATGAAAAAACTAAGATAGATAGATAGATAGATAAAAAATGGTTATATCGAGATAAATAATGATAGAGAATCAACAAGATAGATAGATAGATAGATAGATTAGATAGATATGAAAAACAGATTTAGATAATTATATAAAAAAAACTAACAGATAAATAGATAGATATGAAAAAAGAGAGATAGACATTTATGAACAGATTTAGATAGATACTTAGATAGACAGATAGAAAAAAACCCGAGACAGATAGAATAGATAGATAAATAGATAGAAAAAACACTGAGATAGATAGATAGATAGATAGATAGATAGATAGATAGATATGAAAAAAAAAATCTGAGATAGGTAGATATGAAAAAAACCTTAGATAGATAGATAGATAGATATGAAAAAAAAAACTGAGAAAGACAGACAGATAGCTAGATAAATAGATAGATATGAAAAAACTGAGATAGATAGATAGATAGATAGATAGATAGATAGATAGATAGAAAATGGTTATATCGAGATAAATAATGAACATACCGAGATTGATATACATATAGATAGATAGATAGATAGATAGATAGATAGATAGATAGATAGATAGATATGAAAAAACTGAGATAGATTGAAGCATACATAATTATATGAAAAAACTATCATAGATAAATAGATAGATATGAACAGATAGATAGATAGATAGATAGATAGATAGATAGATAGATAGATAGATAGATAGATATGAAAAAACCTGAGATAGGTAGATATGAAAAAACCTTAGATAGATAGATAGATAGATAGATAGATAACTTGCAACAAAGTAGGAAATGTTCGAATTTACTCAAGTTTCGAATTTCTTTACGTGCAAAGCGTTCTTAATAACGAATCCAAGAAGAAAAATCTAATCTCCAAGAGAGATCTCCAGAAACCTGAGCTGTCTTCTGATGTTCCTTCCCGCCTCATGACGTCACCATCTTTTGTGTCCTTCTTCCTAATTGAGGTCTTCTAGCGAGATTGTCGTAGTTGATGTGGAAGGGGAACTCAGTACTGTCGAGCCCAGATGTGTCACCAAATTTTTCCTATCCCACCCACCAACAACCGAATTTCTCCAGCACCCGTAACATTCATTCTCCAGTTGTCAACGTAAGATTTCTGATTCTGCTGCCGTTTCCCGCCCATTCCACGTTTCCCACCATAATTGAAGGCGCTTCCAAATGTCAAATTACAGATGCCCTGAAAACATCCCAATAAGAAAACAAAAGAAAGGGCTCACACACAAACATGAACACGTATTTTTTGGGGGTGGGTGGGGGGATTATTTTTTATATATTTTTATAGGATAAAATCAACAAAAAACGTGAAGTTATATCTCAATAATAAAAAGCCGCGCCTGAAAATTTCAGTCAACAATTGATTGAAGAATTTGTCATTTGAAACATAAAAATCTAAACAGAAGCAGAGAGCAGCAGTTTGGATGAACTTAGGTAACAGAACGACAAAATGGCAAAAAATTATATGACGCGATTCCTTCTCTAAATAAACCTCCTTGCACTAAAGCAATATTTCTACCGATGCAAATATAATCTTTCCAGATTTGTCGTTCATTTACCAACATTGTCCGAAATATATATATATATATATATATATATATATATATATATATATATATACTAGCAGTAGAGCCCGGCGTTGCCCGGGGATGTAACAGTAAGAGATAGATCAAGTATCGACCATCATAATGACTGAAAAATAAAATTGACAAAGATTATTGTTTAAGGTTGACGGACACGCATGTCTTAATTAGTTTTATTTATTTATTTATTTTTTAAGAATTGGTCAAAACCAAACTCAAACAAAAACATTGTTTTCAATCGTTTTGAGTCTACCGATTGAGTAGAATTTTATTATAAACAATTGTCTTGTAAATGGAATTTTTAAATCATACTGAATGTAAAAATAAAGAAAAAAGTGGGCAAGACAATAAGAAACACTACCTGTCAAAAAAAAGTGAAGTTTTGTTGTAATCGGTTGAAAAATGTAGGAAATCCGATCCCATATATAAACGAACACACACACACACACACACACACACACACACACACAAACAACCTGTGTTTTATAATAAGTACAGTTGTCCCCCTTTCATTCTCGTGATGCCTCTTAATCGTGTTTTCAAATTGATTTCGTGCAGAAACAATTGCGTTTTTCCCATTTTTGGCGCTGTTAGAACCACCGCAAGGTAATTTTACGTAGTCCTGTGAAGTTTTGTTGAAATCGGTTGAAAAATGTAGGAAATCCGATTCAATATATAAACGTACACACACACACACACACACACATTCTGCGTTTTATAATAAGTAAGATGTATCACTAGACTAACCGTCACCCGTTGGGTCACTAACGGTTCAGATTGTCAAACACTGAAGTTGATTTCAACATTAACATAATTGTGTGAAGACAGTTGAAATAAAAATACTTACGGTATAAACATCTCATATTTTAAATCTTATTCACTTCAGCCTGTTATGTGCCATGCGTGATACACGCTGAGGCGGTCTGTCGATATTTTGACTAACGAGGCAGATTTTTTCCTGCAGTAGATTGCCAGTTCTTTCTGCGGTAGATCAGTTGCCATCCAAAGCTATAGAACCCGGTCTATCCTGCTATTTACCCATAGTTGGTGGGGAGAAGAAGAGGATTCATACCTTTCCAGAGGGGTTAGTACGTAAGTGAATGTAATGGATTCGACTGGAATTCGAACTCGGTTCTCCTCAATACGAGCCGCTATCCATTACTCCACCATCCCTACTATTCACTTACAGTGTAACCCGGATATAAGAGACCCGGATATAAGAGAGATTTTCTCTGGTCCCAAATTAGAGCCTGTGTATATAAAATAGACCAATCCCGGATATAAGAGACTTCTTCTCCGTTCCTGACAACTCTCTTATATCCGGGTTACACTGTATTAAATTTTTAAATTAGATTGACTTAAAAATATTTTTTTAAATATGCCAAAAAAGTACTTTTTAATTATTTAAAATAATGTTTGTTTAAAGAAAGCCAAGATATAAATAATTACTCTACAAACAACTGGTCGAGACAGCAAAGCGTGATTTCTTTGGATCTGTCTTTAGCTGAAAAATATTTTAATTAAAAAAAACCCTGTTTGAAGAAAGTTAAAATAAAAATACTTACTGTATGAACAACTTGCATTTTAAAATCTTATTCACTTAAAATTTAAACTTATTTTTTAAATCATTTTCGCGTGAAAATATGTTTTAAATATTTAAAATATTGTTTGATTTAAGAAAGCTTAAATATAAATAGTTACTTCACGAACAACCAGACGAAACAGCAAATCAGGATCTCTTTGTGTCTGTCGTTAACTTAAAAATACTTACTTCAAAAATAACTTGTAAATCATTATGCACCGGACAGACGTATCACACAAGCACACACGCAATAACAGACTTTTATTATTATATAGATATATATTCTCCCGTAAGCTCTGAAATACATACAGTACATTTCTTGAATTTCCTGGGAACAGCAACAGTATACGAAAGACAGTGAAGACTTCTTACATCACTCATTCTGTTATCTGATTGTGTTACCTATCATATAAGTATGTTTTGTTTTTAGGAATGTAAAACGGATTAAAGTCAGCAGTAAATAAATCAGTGTTATTGGTGAAAATTTATTTATTTCTCTATTGGATCATGTTATTTAAGTCATGGCAATTATGTGTGAAAAATAATATCGCCCAAATGTCCGCCAAGGATTCGGCGGCACACCTCCGTTCGATGGTCAAAGTTTTTGATGACGTCTCTGCATAGTTGCTCCTCGATTTCAACAATATGCCTTATTATCCCATCGTTCAACTGTTGAATTGTTGCTGGCGTATTGGCATAGACCTTACTTTTGAGATAGTCCATAAGGAAGAAATCTAAAGGTGTCAAATCGAACGACCGTGGTAGCCGTTTCGAGAGACGATGCGACATAGGAACTTCTCATTGCATTTTTGGTTGAACGTCAATTTTTATAATAGGCTTCGATAACTTTAACACGTTGTTTGATTGTTAATTGTTCCATGGTTGAAATTGGCAAAGACTTAATTTGTTAAATCTAAAAGAAAGAGAAAAACAGTCATTAGACGCTTAAACTTAATTCCCATTTAAAATCAGTCCATGTTATTGGAACACCCTTTATATTCGCTAACACAAACCCACTTTCATTAACAAAGCACCTACAGATTTTGAAATTAAATTTAGAATATTAGTTCGAGACAAACACTTAGAGGCTGACGATAGCCGTGTGAAGAACGGTTTGAAACAAACTATACATATGTTGAGGTAATTTTTATTTTTATTTTTTGCTGCAAAAATACATATGCTCGATTAAAAAAAAAACATCGAGCATTCTGTATATCAGTTGTAATAATTAATATTACTAGAGTACACCCGGATTATATACCAACGGATCAATTACCTGTACTATATATATATATATATATATATATATATATATATATATATATATATATCATAAATTAATTGATTTAAAATATTACTTTCTCGCTACACAGTTCTAACCATGTTTCAAAAATGGAAGCTAAAAGCTTCGAATTTAATTTTATAATTAAATTAAAGACATTAGTTCCATTTCATCCTCAAGCGAATTTTGGAGTAACCTATTTTTTAAAACTACTGGGTTTTAGAGGCACAGCAAAAAATCATAATTCACGTTTCCAAGGATACAGAGAAATCCATTCATCCAGACAAGGGGTGTTTGCGTGTTCATTATTGATGTATTTTGATGTATCAGTTATTAGTTACGTTTTGGTAACTGTGTAGCGAAAATAACATATTTTAAATCAATTAATTTATAATATTAATGCTCTGAGAATTTACATTGAGCACTATTTTGTAAAAATAAAAATATCTATAAGAACACCGGATTATATATCTTACTGTTCTTTCTTTTATATATATATATATATATATATATATATATATATATATATATATATTGGAAGGAAATTTTTAATCGCGGAGATTTGTATCATTGAAAACGTTTTTCTTTCTGTTGAAACAACCTATACTTTTGCAATTGTGGGTAATATCGTTTTTTTTTTTTTTTTTGTTTTTAATTTTTAGTCATTTAAACTTTAGAAGAAAAAACGTAGTAAATATCTTCTTGTGTCATCATTAATTTCATATTTCTTCTTCCGAAATTCGTTATTCTTCACAAACGATTCTTCAAAATATGTTAAACGCGCACTTCAAATGGCATGGCTCTTTAAAAAAACGGGTTCATCGAGAACGACATTCTTGGCCATAAGTTCGCACGACCCTTACGCCATGCCAATACTTTGTTGCGGGTTTTAACTGAGTGAAAATGTATCAGAAGGTAATTTATGTAAAGGAAAAATTATGCGTGCTTATTACGCATTATCCCACAACACGTAGATCAAATAAAGAATATAAGGACAATTTGTATTGCAAGAAATTACTAAAAACACAGTGATTAGAGATCCAACAATAAAGAGGTTTTTATATATACAATAGATATACATGCAAGGATAACAGGATGTTTGTTGATTGTGGCAATTGAGACAAGGTTATGAAGAATGCAGAAATTTGGTCAATAAAAGTTAATGGTTTTGATTTGTTATTGAAATTAAAATAATTTGGTTTCTGCAAGGAAAAATCTCAAATGTGTTCTTTCAAATACTAGTGTGTTACTTGTTAGTTAGAATTTAAGTTGTGAAGAGTTGTTTGCCTTTAATTGTTTGGCTAAATTGATGAATTGTACAATTACTGGTAGTGTAGTGAAAACGTTCACTTTTTAAATCAATTGGAATTTGATTACCACGCGGACAATGGTCGATTGAGTGCTGTGTTGAGTTTTGTTGAGAATTTTGAAGTGATGTTGAGTCAGTGAATTGACATGTATGGAGT